CTATGTATGTATACAAATTCACTTCTATAGCAATTTAAATCTAGACATTCATGCTTCTAAATTAACCCACAAACCTTTTTTTATTATATGCAGAAGATGCCACTAGTTTATTTGTAACACATGTGGGTTTTAGCCTAGCAATGATAAACCTAACCATCAATATCTGAGGATTAATTGTAATTCCCCTTACATGTACCTTTCATCAGCTAACCATTCTGTCTTCGTCTCACTTTTCCTTCCCGCCTATTCATCTTTCCTTTCACATACCTATTGAGCTTAGCTTGAAGGAAAATTGCAAGCATCGCCTATATCTCTTATATACAGCACTTATACTTTGTTTTTTTAGCATCTGTTTTCTTTAATAAAACAAATTATTTTATTTTAACTGTTTCAAACTTTTGATTCCAATGGCAAATTCATTATACAATTCTATCTTTTACATTTTCTATGGGAGATTGTTTTGCAATTATGAAATTATAGTTTTCTTTCCCAAACTCTTGTACAATATAACATCAAGCTTTTAAAAGTTATTTTTACAAGGCCCAGTTTACTTACCCATTTAATATTCAGGGGAAATGGACAGAGGACATGTAGGAGCTGGTGATTTCTATTCTTGAGCCTCTTCAGAATTATTCTGTTCTAATTGTGAATAAAATCTAGTTAACTTTTCAATTAAAATTGTAGTAGTTGTCCTGAATATTGGGCAAAGTCCATAAAATACCCCACCCCCCAAATAGCTGGCATTAAATAAAGTAAAATGAGTTCTTTGTTAATCTTTTAATGTGAAAATATTACCATTCTTGTTTCTTCAGTTTATCAGTCCTAACTGTCTTAAGCATTTAGCTTATTTACTTAACACACACCATATATTTAGAAAAATGGCATGTTGGAACTAAATATCAACATTTTAGCAGCAAGAATTTTTGAATTGTTAAAAAGTTTGTATACTGTCTTATCAGTATCAAGCGATATCCCAGGAAGGTACGGATTTTATAATTTATGGCCTTGAAAAATATTGCATAATCTATTAAAGGTTTATTGGAATGGTAATTTTCAACCACTTTGGTATATATGAATTAGTTAAAAATGTGGGGAAAAATTAATGTTGGACTGATTGTTGTGAAATCAGATAGCAAAAATATATGTTCTCAATGTTCTCTCTCAGTTAGGAAATTTTTTAAAAAGTTTTTTTGAAATGGTGAGGAGCAACAGTATTTTTGTAACGAGAGCAATAAACACTTTCATAAGCTCCAACACTGAGAAAAATAATCATCTTGGGAAAACAAGTAATACCCTTGTTTGTCAGAGAGAGAAAGAAACAGTCCTGCAACTACTCCTTAAACCAGAGTGGATTACCATTTTAGATAGCATATTTCTAGCATACGTTGGCTATAACCAGTGGTTATTCAACCAAAAGAAAAGATAAGACCTAGTGATTATTCAGCATTGTATCCCATTCATGAATAACCATTAGAATAAAATTAAATAAATTCTCATCATGCAAATTTCAGAAATTACTAAAAAGCCAGCTCCTTGATAGTATCATCTTTGCATGATTTTTTTGAAATTACAATCAATGTATTAATGAGGGAGATGTTTAATATTAAAATTACAAAAATGTATTAGCTACAATTAGTGTTTGAAAATCCCCTAGTTGTTGGAAATATATCTGCAGCAAGGTAAAGTGAAACTCAGCTATCTGGATGAAAGATCTTTTGTAATAAACACAGAAAATACATCATCTCAATGAAAAGGTTATTTTAAAACATGAAATGTGCAATACAGAATTTTGTTTTATCTGACTTTGATCAAATAATTGTTCCTAGTTTTTACTTTGAATCTGATGCATGAGGAAGGAATTCAAATCAGATTTGGATGCAGAAGTTTGGATTGCAAAAGGAAGGATTCAGAGTTGCTTTTAACAATTTCTTAAAGAGTTGTTCTTTTAATGTCTTAAAGCGTTTATGCTATTTATGGAAAACTAATCATGTAGAAGCTTCTGCTTGAGAAATAAGATTATTTCTGCCATTTCTTCTTACTGTATCTCCAAGCTCTACTTTTGACATTGTTCCAGAGGAACTCCTAATTCTTTGAGGTCTCAGAGAAATTTCTTTACAAATCACTTTCAGCTGTTCTCTGTCAAAAGCATTTTTACAAGTAGGATTCTGATAATAGATCTGATATAGTAACGCATATTTCCTTTTCTAGGATAAAATCTTTCCAATCTCAAATCTTCTTCATTTGACAATTTCAGCATTTCAGAAAGACTGTACTACATTTTAATGCCTTTTGCCACTAGGATGGTTTAATCAACAGAGTATAATATAGTTATCAAGAATAAGAACTCTACTATTTTGTCTTTAAAATATATTGGATTTAAATTTAAAGGTACTACAATTCCAAAACTACTGCAAGTTAGAGCACATCTTACTGCCTGCACCATATGGATATTTATGTACATGCATACACATGTAACAATATTTAGTTATTTAAAATTTATATACAACTTTATATATGTAAACATATATTTTATAAAACATAAAAACAGAGAGACTGATGGGAATATACACAAAATAGAATGCTCTTTTCAAAGTTTTTTATTAAATCCAAAGAGCTATAAACTTAAAATGAAAAAATGAATTATTTCTATACTATAGTTGACAATTTATACTCTCAAAACACTATAAATATAACTATTATTTTCAAAGAATCCTTAAGAGATAGTAGCATATTTACATTTTACATTTTAAAATTTAATTTATATGACAATTATTCCACATAATTAAACATTGCACAAATAAAATGAACATTGATCATAAAAAAATAACTTCAGAGATTCTTCCAAATTATACTCTTTGTTCAAAAAAGCATGGAGTAAATACTGAATTATAGGAAAATGACAATGGGTTATTAGCCTCTACTATACGTCAATATTTAATAGAATCCATTCTTCCATCTGTATAATATTTCCTCTAACATGGGCTACCCCAGAAAATAACAGAGCCACCAATAGTTAAAAATTGTCTTAAAGTTCAAATGCTTCAGTTTTTCCTCACATATATCTTGTGTGGTTGTGGTCAAACAGTCCTTTAAAGGTATTTGATTAATATAGCTGAAGTCATTAAGGGAGAGAGAAAGAAAATCTATAACTGATAAATCTATCACTTTTTGTCTGAAAAGATTGAACAGCCATTTGTCTCAAATGAGTTTCCTGCCTGAGCAGAGAGTTGGATTTAGAAGACCTCCAAGGTCCCTTCCAACTCTGTTATTTGTTAAATAATACATTAAGACAACACTGTAAATTCTATGGAGATTATATGTCAAGTTAAAATATAAATTTTAAAACCCGCATTTTGGATGTAGAAAAATTATGTATATAAAATTGTAGTCTAAAAATGGTTTCCAAATAGATTTGAATTCTATATCAGATTTACTTTTTAAAAATGAAGTTATTTGTTTAAGTGTACATCCACAGTTTGGTTAGCCATTCTGTCAACTCTGAAGCGAACCTGGCTGAAGCCATCTTTTGCTGCCCCATAGTTGCCGTGAACCCTGAGAGAGGGAAGGGAGGGGGGAAGTAGATAGACCGTCTAACCGTCAAAACAAAAAGTTTTCCTGTGGGAACCAAGATCATCTTAACAGGTAACTGTGAGAGGAGGAGAAGAGTGACCAAGCAGCCTGCCAGCTACTTCCATTGGACAATGTGACCACTGGGAGGGGGAAATTTTGCTCTTTTAATTAGACGAAAACCACGGGAACTTTTAGAGTTGGATTTCACCAGCTGTGCCAAAATGATGTATCCAATAAACATGTTATTTGAGGAATCTACCTGCCTCGGAGTTCTGCTTTCAATGGATGTGTTACTCGGAATGCTGACACATTCTTCCATCCAATAAAAAAACATATGAAATCCTTCCATTCATTAACATATACAATGCCAATTTAGTATATTTTGAAAGAATGGGTGATTTTGTGAAGTTAATAAAACTATCTCAGAATAAAATAGAATTATGACTTCTCAAATTTGTTATATTCTATAATAGATGAGTTCCACCATGCAATTACTTTTTTTTAACCATGTATCTATCTCACAGTGCAAATAGCCAGCTATATGCATTTTTGTGTATATTTTCCTTGCTTTGTAAGAGCAAATTATCTTCATTTTCAATATCTGACAGCTGCTTAAAGAAATTCTTAGTAAGTGTGGGTAGACAGAATAATAACCATAGTCTGAAAAGTTAAAAGTATTTGTTCCCCTTTCAAATTGTCATGACCTTGTTAATTTCCTTTTGGGTGTAGTTAATTTCTTAACAGTAAAAACAAAAATAAAAATGAAACAACTGCAGCAGTGTCCAAGCTTCTTCACTTGCCATTATCACTGTTTTATCATTCTATGCATTCAGGTTTGCAGAAAAATGCCATGTTTAACATTGTACCATGAGCCTGTTGCAGCATGTGTTCCCTTGAGGATTAATTGAAACACACAATCTGATCAGGATGCTTAACTAACTGAAAAAATTGCTTGACAGATACAAGCATGCAGCATGGTTCAACGGTGCCTATTTTATAAACTGCTAGAAGCTAGATAATGGCCACTGCTTACAGAGACCTTGGGAACAGTTATTATATTTTACTGTGACCTAAACTAATATAATGGGATTTATAAGCACACAAATAGATAGTGCCTTTTTTTACAGCCCAATTTTATGGATGTTTATTCAGAAGGATGTATTATATTGATAATATTCAATATATACTTATTACAATGAAACAGATGCTGCCTGATCCATCAGACTAAATCAGCATTAATTTTATGGCATAAATTGTCCCTTTATTTAGCATCCTCTCACCTGTCCCCTTTGTATCTGTTGCTATGGAAATTATAGTCATACAATAACATGTAATTCAAAGTCCTATTCAGAAAACATTCTTCAAAAATTGTTTGTGTGTCCTTCTCTCTCTTTCTAAATGCACTCACATAAACATGTTTTATATTTCAGAACAGACAACTAACCTAAGAAGTGTTTTGAGAAATTGTAATTTCTCTGGAATAAGAAATTCACTGGAAGGTAATATTCACAAAGGTTGTGTGGTGTTAATTTTTCCTTCATGCTGTGCCTTTTTGTCTCTTGATTGTAGAAATGTGTTCCTTTGAATTAGAAGTAAATATTATCTAGAGTGTTTGAAGTGCCAAGATTTCTGCTCTTCCTCTATATTGGTTTTGTTCATTTGCATTATAAGTCAAAAGACTTTTAAAAGTAAAATTGGGCCTGGGGGGAAAAAAACTTGTTCGCCATAGAACTGAAATTGTTGCTGTGTCAACTCATATCCATTTAAGAAAAAGGAAGTGCTCGTGGTAACATGCAGTATTTGTAAATCATAATTTTAAAGTTTTTACAGCAATTATTAAGTCATAAAGGGCAAGGAATGCATATGCTTCTGTAATTTCTTTTTTACAAGATTTGAAATTATATATTAAAATGCAGCAAAGAAGAAGCAAATTAATCCTTATATCTTCGTACTTTCATTGTTATCCAAGAGAAGAGGCTACTTACACGTATGCATGCAAATTGCATACATAGCCAATCTGGATTCTGCAGTAAACAACTCCATTGTTTATTCTTAGACTCTGGGCAAAAAACACCTACATATTCCTAGGCTCTGTGCAAAATCTATTTGATGACATGCCTGATTAGGGCTTTTATACATAAGAAGCAAAGGACATTGTGTCATCTCACAACTAACATTTTCCTATGTTAAGCAGGATGTTCAAGAGGTCAAGACATTACCACAAGCCTAGACAGGGTTTTTTTTCTGTCTTAAGAGGGATGATCACAGAGCCACTTTTATTCATCCAGCATCAGCTTTTATATATTTACATGGAATTTCCTATCTTCCTAGACATCACCAATTATTCAGTTAAAAATCCATCAAATGCATGTTTAGAGCACATTTGTTCATTTTCTAAAGGGGGAAAAAAGCAACATTTCTCACAATTTTTTTTTTAGTTTCTAGTTACAGTTTTAAGTAAAGCAGAAAAAAAAAGCTACTTCCTTTTTGGAGAACAATTTCTCTGTGGTTTCTTTGACTTAATGACCTTATCAACGTTTTTAATCTTGGAACTGTTTGAACCACAAAGTAAAGAATGACCTGCCAGTTTTATTATATGGAACTGAGGTACATGATTCCTATGTTGGTGAGCCTGATTCCATGAAACTGAGGGATCTTAATGAATGGAGGGCTCCAAATCTCCTGTAAAAAAGGAGGATATGGGAACAAAAAGCGCCAAAACAAAAAAGCTCCAGCCCACTAAACCACCTCTAATTTCAGCAGAACATTTTAAAACAAAATCAAACTAAACCAGTGCCTATATTAGTGCAAAATATCTGTCACCTGGCCTGCCACTTTTAATTTGCAGGTATATAATCCCAGGGCAATACTGACAATCAGCCCTGAAAGAATGTACTTCCCCAGTAAACTCTGCTGTCCCTTAGGAAGTTTACAACTTCAGTAATCCTATTTTACGCTATGTAATAGGTCTCCGTCACCAGTTTTAGGGTTTCACCAGGGTATATTTATTTCTCCAGGGCATAAATATATAAAACTGACAGTGTCCTACATAAAAGATGTCAATCATGGAAAGACTTGCTGGCTGTCTTCTTCCACTCTTTGAGTGTCACGGAGCCCAGTATGCAAACGGGGCAATGCTGCTTAGGAAACAGTCGTTGCTTCTTTTTCAAAGAATCATTAACTGACACTATTTAAGCCTACTAAAATGAAATTGGCTCTCTGTTAATCTGAGGCTACTACTGAGTCATGGAAAAATCCTGGGATAGACACAGTTTAATATATTGTATCACCTTGACCATGGATCAAAGCTGACAGCTTCTATTTAATTTGAATAGTCTGATTTTTTTGGTAGCATTCCTCTTGGAAGTGTTTTTTTTTTTAATTTGATGCTAATTTGTCCAAATAATATTGTACGGCAGATGTTCAAATTATTGCTAGTGGAAATATTAGAACATAAAAGTTTATAGTATTTTAATAGATTGCTGTTTGCCTTATATATTATTGCACAACTGTATTTCATTAGTTTGTAATGCAGAAGAATTTTCATTCAATAAGGGAAAAAAATCCATTACAGTTTTTGAAAGAGGGACTTTATTTAATGCTATCCCACTTCTGTTTACAGGTTGCAGAAAAAGAGTAGGATTGGATTAATTCTCTTCACTTTCTCTGTCCTCAAATAGGTGATAAGTGATCTGAATGGGATGCTTGCTGCTGGATGAGGAAGTGTGCATAGCAGCTTTCTGCTATTCTGTAAAAATGGATTGAAGCCACAGAATGCAATCAACCCAAACAGCTGCTGTTCAGTCTACTGGGCCTCCGTGAAATAAATGCTGATTGTAGGTAAGCAGTGCTTGTGGAGTAACTCTGAATAAAGCTAAAATGAAACCTCCATTAAAATATAACAGAATAACAGACAAAATAACAAAGTTGGAAGCTCAAATTTGGGCATTTGGAGAACTTCTAATCCAATTCCTTTTTCAGGCAGGAAACCCTACACCATTTCAGACAAATGGTTGTCCAATTTCTTCTTAAAAACTTCCAGTGTTGAAGCATTCACAACCTCTGGAGGCAAGTCATTCTGCCAATTGTTGGCAGAATGTTCTAACTGTCAGGAAATTTCTCCTTGGTTCTAGGTTGGTTCTCTCCTTGATTAGTATCTACCCATTGCTTCTTGTCCTGCCTTCAGATGCTTTGGAGAATAGCTTGACTCCCTCTTCTTTGTGGCAACCCCTCAGATACTGGAACACTGCTATCATGTCATCCCTAGTTATTCTTTCTGGTAGTCAGAGGGTATGTACTTGGTAGCATGGCATGAAAACATTTTTGTTTAAAAATAATGCTAACTTATTTTTAAAAATGGAAAACTGTCTAATCTCAAATGCTTGCTTAATTGAATTGCCTATAGCACTAGCTCCATTATAGTACATTAGAGTAAATATTACCAAGTTCCATATCATTATCAGCTTCTCTTTTGATATGAGTAATTTGAAAAATCACACTTCCATTCTTAACAAGGCAAATGAAATGAAACCAAGCAATGCTCGCTGTTTTATTGCAGCTCAACCTGGTTTCAGCGAAGGAGGTAGAAGACAGTAATCACAACCATATAAAACCCATCACTTTACATGCTTCACATGACACAGGTAATGTTGTAAGCCATTCAGTTGCCTTGTGGCAAGATGGGGGGCAAATAAATGTAATAAATACATTAAATAATAAATAATTAAAAAGGGGAATAACTTTGATTATGTCCTTGAGGCTTAATTTTTTTTAACAGTTTATTTATATATGTTCACATTACATACATAAGTGTTTAGTGAATAGCTTAATGTCTGGATCAATTTATTTATATATAGTAGTACTTTTTCCACTCCTAATTTCTAACTCTACTATCCAGCCATTTATAAAACAAGTCCTTGAGGCTTAATTTTGTGGATATCATCTTGCCTTTTTTATAACTTCAAACAACTTGCTGAAATCACCAAAAAGACACATTTATCTGTATCTGAAAAAAGTCTCTCTTCAACTGAAGAAGAAATTACAATCTGAAAAGTGCATTAGAAACAAGGAAGGTTGGTTCTATGTCCATATATTTAGGCTGCATCACAGCTGCAAACTTGGTGGAAGACCCCGCCTCTCTGTTACTTAACCCACCAATCAAGATTTTTATGTGTTGCTTGTGATGAACCACAATCCAGACGAAGATCCTGATTTTAGGTTTCCTCAAATCTGGAAGAAGAAAAAGGCCTTCCCCAGTTACTGCGGATGAAACAAGCTATAATGCAAACTCCCTTTGGAGATGGTTGAACTGCCATTTTCCCCTCTGAAAGAAAAATATTTCAAATAATTGAAAAAGTCATTCTGCCTCTGAGTAAATATAGTTATATAAGGTCACTTTAGAGACAGCAGCAGCAAACAGTGACAGATTTCAAAAGTGCTAATTTGAAAAGTAATAATTCTATGTAGGATTATAGAGAAATCATGCTAGACAAAATTAATTGCTTTTTAAATTGAATTATATGATTAGCCAATGGAATAAATGGTCTGCAAGTTAAATGTATAAACTTTGATATAGTTTTTCACACAATGTCACATGGAATCTTGCTTGGAAACTGGGATTAAATTTGAAAGTCCTTGATATAACTGTTTGGCCCTTAATATAGCGTTCTGAGAGAGAAAATATTTGGTTTGCATGATTTACTCATGCAAATTCATGCAAATTTATTCATGCAAATTTATTTTTGCAAATTAGAAGTTGATTCTTCGACTTCTAACAGGTTTTTTTGTTGTTGTTTTTTAAATTTGATTTATATGCCACCCTTCTCCGGAGACTCAGGGTGGTTTACAATGCGTTAAGCAATAGCCTTCATACTTTTGTATATTTATACAAAGTCAGCTTATTGCCCCCATAAACTGGGTCCTCAATTTACCTACCTTAGAAAGGATGGAAGGCTGAGTCAACCTTGAGCCTGGTGAGATACGAATTTACAGATGGCTAATAGCTGATGTTAATCACAATGCTATCAGTCTGCTGAGCCACCAGGCCCAGTTCATTTAGTGACTGTTCAAAGCTACAACAACACTGAAAGAAAATGATTTATGATTGTTTTTCACACTTATGACCATTGCGGCATCTTCATGATCAAAATTAAGAAGACACTTGGGAATTGATTCACACTTATGATCGTTGCAATGTCCTGAGGTCATGTGATCACCTTTTGTGACCTTCTGACAAGCAAAGCCAATGGGAAAGCCAGATTCACTTAATAGCTGTGTTACTAACTTCACAGCGGTAGCAATTCACTTAACTGTGGCAAGAAAGGTCATAAAATGGACAAAATTAACTTAACAAATGTCTCACTTAGCAACAAAAAATTTGGGCTCAATTATGATCGTAAGTTGATGATTACCTGTACTATATTGTTATCAACCAACCTGTGCCTGATGAAAAACATATACATACTTTTAAAGAATTCTGTTTAAGAACTAGGCTGAACTCTTGAACTGCCTGGATTCACAGTGTTTTTGAAGTCCATTATTGGATCAGTCCAGATTCTTACAAAATTAAGAGAGAAGAGTTATTTTATTGGAGGAAGAGGAGGAGAATGCTGCCAGTCTAGTGCAAATCTGATTTTCCAGTTAGGGGATCTGGTTATGGATAATGAGTAGTCCAGACCATGTTGAGAATACCAATGTGGCAAAGGCTCACCTAGAGCATGGTTCTATGTTTCCCTTACTATATGCATTAATCTGCTTTGCTATTGTACTCCCTTACTCACTCTTTCTAATTTGACAGCTAAATGGCCCCACAGATAGTCCTCACTTCTCAACCACTTGTTCAGCAACAGTTCAGATAGGTACTTATTTATTTATTTATTTATTTATTAATTTAATTTGTATACCGCCCTTCTCCCAGAAGGGAGTCAGGGCGGTGAACAGCCAAAATTAAAAAACATACAAATGCAAAAATTAAGATAATTAAAAGAATTAAATCATTGGCTACCCAAATTTAAAACCCCAAATCCATAAAATTTAAAATCCCAATTAAAAACCATTTAGGCTAGGCCGGCTTGATGAAATAAAAACGTCTTCAGGGCTTTACGGAAGGTCCGGAGGTCCGGGATCAATCGTATTCCAGGAGGCAGCTCATTCCACAGGGCGGGTGCCCCCACAGAGAAGGCTCTTCCCCTGGGGGCCGCCAGCCGACATTGCCTGACCGACGGCACCCCGAGGAGGCCCTCTCTGTGAGAGCGTATTGGCCGGTGGGAGGTTTTTGGTAGCAGCAGGCGGTCTCGCAAATACCCTGGCCCTAAGCCATGGAGCGCTTTAAAGATGAGAACCAACACCTTAAAGCGCACCCGGAAGACCACCGGGAGCCAATGCAGCTCGCGCAGGAGAGGTGTTACGTGGGAGCACCACGTCACTCCCATAATCACCCGCGCGGCCGCATTCTGCACCAGCTGGAGCCTCCGGGTGCTCCTCAGGGGGAGCCCCATGTAGAGAGCGTTACAGTAGTCCAGGCGTGACGTAACCAAGGCATGAGTGACTGTGCACAAGGAGTCCCGATCCAGAAAGGGGCGCAACTGGCGTATCAGGCGAACCTGATAAAAAGCCCCCCTGGCCACGGCCGTCATATGCTCTTCTAAAGACAGCCGTGTGTCCAGGAGGACGCCCAAGTTGCGAGCCCCCTCTGTGGGGGTCAGTGACTCGCCCCCAATAGCCAGCGATGGCACCAGCTGGCTATACCGGGACGCCGGCATCCACAGCCACTCGGTCTTGGAAGGGTTGAGCCGAAGCCTGTTCCTCCCCATCCAGACCCGCACGGCCTCCAGACACTGGGACATCACTTCGAGGGCATCATTGGGTTGGTCTGGGGTGGAAATGTACAGCTGAGTATCATCAGCGTACAGATGGCATCGCACCCCAAAACCACGGATGATCTCACCCAGCGGCTTCACATAAATGTTGAACAGGAGCGGTGAGAGGACCGACCCTTGCGGCACCCCGCAAGCAAGGCGCCTCGAGGTCGACCTCTGCCCCCCTGCCAACACAGACTGCGACCGGTCAGAGAGATAGGAGGAGAACCACCGCAACACGGTGCCTCCCACCCCCAGTCCCTCCAGCCGGCGCAGCATGATACCATGGTCGATGGTATCAAAAGCCGCTGAGAGGTCTAACAGGACCAGAACAGAGGAACAACCCCTGTCCCGAGCCCTCCAGAGATCATCCACCAATGCGACCAATGCCGTCTCCGTGCTGTACCCAGGCCTGAAGCCGGACTGGCACGGATCTAGATAGATGGTTTCATCCAGGAACTGTGGGAGCTGTTGCGCAACCACACTCTCCACAACCTTCGCAACAAAGCGAAGGTTGGAGACCGGACGATAGTTTGCCAAAACGGCCGGGTCCAGAGAAGGCTTCTTGAGGAGGGGCCTCACCACTGCCTCTTTCAAGGCGGGAGGCAAGAAACCCTCTCTCAGAGAAGCATTTATGATCCTCTGGAGCCAGCCTCGTGTTACCTCCCGGGTGGCCAGTACCAGCCAGGAGGGGCACGGGTCCAATAAACATGTGGTTGCGTTTAATCTCCCCAGGATCCTGTCCACGTCCTCAGGAGTCACAGGGTCGAACTCATCCCAGGTAACATTCTCAAGACCAGCCTCAGTCACCCCGCCGGGATCTACCCAGTCAGAGTCCAAGCCTTCCCGAATCTGAGCGATTTTATCGTGCAGATACTGTGCAAAATCCTCAGCCTGCCCTTGCAAGGGGTCCTCCCGTGCTCCCTGATGTAGGAGGGAGCGGGACACCCTAAACAAGGCGGCTGGGCGGTTATCTGCCGATGC